TTTTACTTTTAAAAAATAAATCCAGTAACAAGATATCTCTACTTTACTCGATATTAAATTGAACAATTAAATTTATATTATTAAGAGAATAAGCAAAAACAACCTTGAGTTGTGCTATTTCATGGTTTCATATCATTCTCACCAATAGTCAATTTATGATGATAAGTATTTAGGCTGCATTCGAAAATGCTCTATCTCTAGATACATAATTAAAAAATGACCTTGTATCTCGTGAATTATTGACATTTTTAAAGATATAAACTCATCCCGATGTTACACTCATCAAGACCTTTCATTTGAGTACCCACATCAACTTTTCATATATTTGTCGGAGATAATATTGAGCTGGGTTTTCCTAGAGATAGGAAATTCCCAATATTTTAGTTTGTCTGTTAGTTTTAAGCAAAATTGTAAAGCATAGAATATTTAATAATTATTTATAACTTATGCTGACAATGGTCACCAAACGTAGCCGAGGTCACAGGATAGAAGTAAAAAGTATACAGTTAAAGATATCGACAGACAATGAGGGCTGTCGAAATATTTAAGTGAAGAAGTACTTAGGATAATTTGAGGGGTAGTTCTCGTTGAGCATTGATCAAGTAAAGATCTCATACATCCTGCTGACCCCGGATTCGTTCTCGGTCTTATTCCTCAGCGCTTTTACCTTGTATATTAATTATATTTGGATAATTAATCGTAGTATTGTTTATACAAGTTAGCGTACATTATATTTCAAAATTTAGATCAGTGATATAGTTTAATTATTCTAAATTAATAAATAATTGAATAAACGAATCCAATGGACTGTACTAACGCCCCTAATAATGCTTTTCCGACATCAGAAGTGGGATCAGAATCATTTGCTGCATTCTCCTCTGAGCAATTTAAAATTGTTTTTGGGAAAAGTCTTGTGAAGCTAATGAATAAGGCTATCATAAAACCGGCGTCATTGAATCGTAGTATTTCTCTACCAAAATTTAACCCGGTGAAATTTCAAACACTGATTCGTTTACTTGGTGTGTGACAGTGAATATGTGTTTAGTGGAACGTTTTCTGGAAGGTAGTTCGTTATTATTCCACTAAGTGAAGCTCTTCAGGGAATCTTAGGAACTGTGAGTAGATTTTTGCCCCGTTGCAGCTCTGTCAGGTTCTGTGATACATCGTGGTGAGTCGTTTTTATTTTGGTTTGATTCAGGAGCGGAATGCTCATTGATTAGAGGAAGTATTGCGACTAAGATCGCGTGAAAAGGGAAAATAATTTGATAATTATTGAGGGCATTGGAAATGTTAGCGTGAACTGTATTATACGAATTTTATTTGGCATAACTATTAAAAGCCATAAGTTAAAGATACTTTCTCATACTATTGCAAACGATTATTTAAAATGTGACATATTGGTTAGTCGTAAAATTCTTGGGCAAGAATTTGATGTAAATATAACTTCAAATAATTTTAACTTATCTAAAAGTAAATAGATTAATACGTGTAATAAACTTGAATCTATTAATAAATTACATTTTTAATGCTTGTTGATACTGACGTAATTAGAGATGATAAAGAGAAACTCATTTTGATCTTAAAAGAATATACAGATTCATTTATTCAGGGGTTTTCAAGTACTCGTGTTAGTACTGGGGTACTTAAAATACGTTTAGTTGACCCTAATGTAACTGTACAAAGGCGACCGTATCGTCTTAGTGCTGCGGAAAGGCAGGTAGTACAGGATAGAGTAGATGAATTATTGAAGGCTAATGTTATTCGTCCGAGTTTCTCTCCGTTTGCAAGTCCTTTATTATTGGTTAGAAAGAAAGATGGTTCGGATCATCTATATGTTGATTATCGTTCATTAAATGATAATACAATTAACGATAAATTTTTATTACCCCTTATTGCTGATCAGATAGCCCAAAATTCTAATGTAAAATATTTCACGTGCTGAGACATAGCTAGCGGATTCCACCAAGTCCCTGTTGAGACAGAATCGATTGAACAAACGGTATTTGTAACGTCTGATAGAAAATATGAATATTTGACCATGTCATTTGGCTTAAAGAACGCACCGTCTATCTTTTAACGTGCTGTTGTATGAGCCCTCGGATAATTTGCGTATACCTACATCATTGTGTATATGGATGATATTATGATTATAGCTTCAACTATCGAGGAAGCGTTAGACAGACTTCAAAAATTAGTTGTTATTCTCGTTAAATCCGTATTCTTTGCTAATTTTTCAAAATGCTCGTTTCTCAAAACTCACAGGTAACGAAACCCTTATACCCTCTGACTTCAGGTAGCAAAAGAAATATTGAATGGACTGAGGTACATGAAAATATCCGTCAGAAAATAATCTCTGTATTGACTAGTGAGTCTGTACTAATGATCTTCAATCCGAACTTTCCTATAGAGTTGCATACAGATGCTAGCTCTGAAGACTATGGGGCTATATATTATTGCAAAAATTTAATGGTTCAAATAGAGTTGTCGAGTATTATAGCAAAGCTACTAGTTTAGCTGAGTCACAATATCATTCATATGAATTAGAGACTCTAGCTGTATTTAACGCAGTAAAATTTTTTCCGCCATTATTTACATGGTCGACCGTTCGTAGTAATTACGGATTGTAATTCGTTAATTTAAAAGCCTCTCAGAAAAGGCTGACCTAACACCAAGGGTTCACCGTTGGTGGGCTTTCTTACAGACTTTTAAATTTGATATTGTGTATAGAGAAGGTAAACGAATGGCTCACGCTGATTTCTTTTCGCGTAATCCTGTTACAGAACAATTGCGTAGTAATTCAAATAAAATTTTACAGAAACGTATAAATTTGACGGAAATTTCTGATGATTGGCTTCTTGTTGAGCAACGGCGTGACCCAGAAATTAGTAAGATAGTAATTGATTTAGAAAATGATGAGATTGCGTCCGATCTTGCTAAAACTTATGAAGTACGGTCAGGGTTACTCCACCGAAAAATCCAAAGGCGAGGTAAAACATTATGTTTACCTATTGTTCCACGTGCTTTTAGGTGGTCGGTAATAAATCATGTGCACGAGTCAATTATGCACTTAGGATAGGTGAAAACACTCGACAAGGTTTGCGAGTATTATTAGTTAGAAGGAATTATGAAGTATGTTCGTAAATTCATTGATAACTGTTATACTTGTAGAGTTTCCAAGTCAAGCTCAGGCAAAGTACAAGCAGAGCTTCATCCTATTCCTAAGACCAGCATCCCTTGGCATACAGTACACACGGATATTACAGGTAAATTAACGGGTAAAAACGATTTAAAAGAATACGTTATTATTTTGATAGATGCATTTACCAAACTTGTTTTATTATTTCATACTCGAAAAATAGATAGTTTCAATACTATTAAGGCTCTGAAAAATGCTATATCATTGTTTGGCCCACCGGCCCGTATAATTGCAGATTAAGGTAGATGTTTCACAAGTAAAGAATTTCAAGAGTATTGTACCTCGCAAAATTCAAAATTACATCTTATAATAGCTATGGGTAGTTCTCGTTGAGCATTGATCAAGTAAAGATCTCATACATCCTGCTGACCCCGGATTCGTTCTCGGTCTTATTCCTCAGCGCTTTTAATGTGGGTACTCAAATGAAAGCTTTTGATGAGTGTAACATCGGGATGAGCTTATATCTTTAAAAATGTCGATAGTTATGAAAGTACTGTGCAATGTAACAAATATCCTGTAAAATATTGACATTTTTAAAGATATAAGCTCACCTCGACATTACACTGATCGAGATCTTTCATTTGAGTACCCACATCAATTTTTCATATATTTATATATATTATATATATGTATATATGTATATATGAAAAATATATCAAAATGCATGTGGATACTCAAATGAAAGCTCTTGATGAGTGTAACATCGGGATGAGCTTATATCTTTAAAAACGTCAATAATTAAAAAAGTACAGTGCAATTTAACAAAAGTCATTATTTAATAAAGCGAAATTTTATTTATTTATAGTTCATAAGTCACGGCAGTCACACAGTGACTGCAAGGATGCCTAGTATTATTTAGATATTTTTAAGCAGTAAAATGTAAACAGAATTGTTGAAAGTCTCTAGTCTGGAGTGACCTTCGTTGACCCTGAGGTAGAGCTCAAGAGATCTTGAAAAAAAATATGTTAATGTTACGAAATGTTTAGAGTTTTTAAGATAGGACGATTGTGAGTTTAAGTGTAGACAGGCGATGAACTGAGTATGAGATGAAAAAAGAATAAGTAAAGAAGATTATAACGACAGATGTGTGTCTGGTTGTGTTTAGTCGTAGTATATAGTATATAATGATATAGTAATGTCACAGGCATTACTACACGTATCGTAGTAAACTGGGTCGTACGCATACAACTTGAAACTTCCAACGCGATTAAATTTTTCTTCGTAATATCTTTCATATTAAACTCTTCTGTTCTCAAACAAAAATTCATTATATTGTAACATGTCTCACATATTTGTTACGCACATTAATTTAGAAGGAAAAGTACCGGGCTTTTTTTTTTGTTTGAAAAACCGTTAATTCTTTGAGGTCGTGACGAAACATCGTAATCTAGGATTTGGGCCCGGTTTTGGAATATGTTTACGGAAATAATTACATGAGGTTTCCTGTTTAAATGAAATCAGATGCCATACAAGTTATTTTAAAAATTTTGTTGATGTATATTTATTAAAAATGAATCTCAATTGCACTATTTTTATTAAACAAATATTTTGTTAAGATTTACAATTCATTTTTATAAAATATCACGAGTTTACTTAAAATACTCTGTAAATAAAATTGCAAAGGACTAGACTACCAATTATTTATAAAAAATTCTTGCAATTGGTTTATAGAGTACTCATTACATTAATTATCAATTTAGTTCATTTAAAACTTAGCTTCAGGTGATATTAAATTTAGAGCGTTGATAATTAATGGAATTTGGAAGAATAAAACAATAATACATAATATCAGTCTGTTTATAAGTTAATGATTATTGTTATCTATTTTTTCTTGTTGTAAATTATCTCTGGTGTTGTTGTGGGAATTTCCTAACGCCGGTGGATTCCGATCAGAAAATTCTTCGTCTATTTTTACCCATTCCCATTGACCGTTTAACGGTTCATCTTTTTCGAAATCGAAATTCCATCGTTCTTTAGCCTACAGAATAAATTAATTATAATTAATAAAATAATATTATCGAAATCAACATAACTTAACAGCCGATCCCATCTTTTTCTCACTCTTTTTCTCACTGCAAGAAACGGTACTATCCTTGTTGCACTCATGATTATAAAGCTATTGCAGTTTTATGTTTTTCTTTTAAACAAATGAGAATTTCGAAAAAACGCTCTGTTATGAAATAGTGTTGGCTGAAGTAAAAACTTTTCTTAAAATTCAATTTTTGGTAGAAGTCATTTTTTCTTAATTCAAATTATCATTAATACTTGATACAACAAATTTTTATATTTGATCAAGATTTTTAGATACTATAAAGAAGCAGTACCACCTACTTCTGCTGAGAAAAAAATTTTCTCACCTTGAGAAAATTTTTCTCTTGAATATTTGATATCTATTTTATATTATTTTAACGTGCAATTATACATATTGAATGAAAAAAAATGATTCAATATTATTTGATCTTCCCATTTGACATGTTAATTAATAAAAATATTAATGAAAATTTACTTCTATCTTTATATTTAATTTTTTGGAGCAAGAGAGAAATTTTCTCTAGACAAGAAAATTTACTTATATCAAGAACTAAATTTTCTTGGATCAAGATACGTCTTTCTCAAAGCAAGAGAATTAATTTTGTTGGAATAAGTGAAATTTCTCCTGTCAAAAAAAAATTTTTTTTTCGCTCAAGAAAATAATTAGAAAGAAAAATATTTTCTTGGCTCAACTGAACCTTTTTTTTTTTCTCTGTACTATCTGAAATTTTTTTTCACTCAGTTTAATCTGTGATGATATCCAGTGTCATCTTGTTCTTTCCGTGTAGGGACCGGCTGTTAACAGATAAAAAATAAATACATACCTCAAAACGCGTTTCTTCAATTAATCTATTAGCCAAGTTATCATCATTCCCTTGAGTAGTCTTTTCTTCTTCATTATTTTCTTGATTATCATCAGTATCGGTAAATAGTCTCCTTCTTACGTTTTGTAACTTAGTCTTATCAGTATTCTTATTGCGTTTGTCCCCGTCCATTGCCAGTTAAGCCACGTAACTCAATACTTCTAAACATAAGTAAAGCGCAACAAATAAATTAAAAAATATTGTAACATAATGACAAGCGATGTAATAATGTTTATATAAATATTATAGATAAAATAGCATCGAAGTGGATTATTATCAAGGCTGTGACCAGCAACAGAGCACACTTGCGTTGTGTGTGTAAACATTACGCGGGTACGTGCCATATCAGACAGTACGACGCCAAAGTCAAGTATAAAAGAAATAGGCAGCACATATACAACGTGTATAATACACACATGTCAAGACAAAGACAACGGGTTCTATTTGTTTAATTTGGAGCTAGCTGTTCTTATAACTGTTTCATTTATTATTACAAAAAATCTACATACAGTATTTAACTCCTAATTTGAATAATTATCTTCACTAATGTTAAATTTTCAAAAATCACGTCGCGATAATTATTCTAAAATACCATAATAATTATTCAGCTTTCATATAATCCAAGTAATTGATCAATCAATTTTTTTTTTACCAAAACACATGTAATTTATTTTCTTTGAGCCGGTTCTTTGTACAATAAGTATTGAGACATTTAACAAACTAAAAAATAATATAAATAACTCACTCTTTCAAGTACTCGTTCAGTATTTGCGAATAATTGAGGTCGCGGATGATTCATCAAGTGCACTTGGCCACGTAGTCGCGTTATTAAACGCGAACAGACCTATAACTTTGAGTTACGAGCTACTGGGTCTGGTTCAGTCGGCTAACCAAAGTCCGGTATTATTTTTCAGAAGCGCGACATTAGTAACAGCGAATCAATAATTTAATAAATGCGAGGGTAAGCAACAACCCCTGTGAATATTAGGACGCCTGCGCAACTGAAGTTGTCAGTACTGTTTTTGGTCACTACTGCGTATGCGTCATACTATCGGCATTTAAATTTGTATTATCAATTGGTCATACTCTGTATACAAATTTTTTGCAATTTAAATTTAAACTTTTAACAAACATGCTGGTTAATTAAACGAATCTTTTACTGATGATTTAAATCCCTTATATGGAAATTTTATTTTCTTGTTACAGTTTTCCAGTCAATGAATGAGTCATCGTGGTCAACAAACTGCTTATTTATAATTTTATCAACGAAGGCACATTTTTAAATATTTGTTATGCTGGATAGACGTAGAGATAGCCGTGGTATTTCCGTTGGAGGCTGAAGTACGACTGACAAGGTAAGAGTTTATACTTGACTAGCTTACAGCAACTTGCATGGTTGCAAATGCAGCCTAGTAACACGACTAGCCTAGATCCAGGCACCGACTGACTGCAATACTCTTTCATGACTTTAATAGTATTAGTATTAGTGAGTATGCATTGTACAACGTACATGCACACTTTTATTTATTCAGTAGAGAAATGATCGAGTTATACTCTACTCCATGCACAGTCACTGGTATCGTGTACCGTTAACATCCTGTCTCATTACATTATCATACTCTGGTGCATGCTTTTTATGCTCAGGTTCTCAGTCGACTATTTTTAAAATTATTTTTCAACTTTATGTACGTCTCATTTTTTTTTATTCGTTACATACATATATTTTTATTTTTATTTTTATTTTTATTCTTAAACGCTGTGTTTAAAGAATAAAGTTTAAGTTGAGGTTGAAAGATTTTTTTATTCTGCTAAAGTCGATCTCGAGTTGCGTACATTCAAGTAAACTCGAAAATTTTCATATGCATGCGAGTTGTATAGACGCGATACGATGGGATGAACGACCGCGTAATAAGATTCTCGACTAACGGCTACTCCCGTATGCACCAAAGGATGAATCTTGTCGACGGATCCGGTTGTTGTTCAATACAACGCATAGAAAAAATCAAAATATTACTTTTATTTTTAAATTATGAAAGATTATTATCCTCAAATTTTTATCTATATTAATAAGAAAATAAGCAAAATTTTTAGGCAAGTGTATTTATATGATATAAAATGGGTTTTGATGGTTAAATTTGGTATCGTTGGAAAAGTCTTGACCTGTTGTGCCTTTTTATGGTTTCATGTCATTCTCACCAATAGTCAATTTATGATGATAAGTATTTAGGCTGCATTCAAAAATGCTCTATCTCTAGATACATAATTAAGAAATTACCTTGTATCTTGTGAAATATTGACATTTTTAAAGATATAAGCTCACCTTGACATTACACTCATGAAGACCTTTCATTTGAGTACCCACATCAATTTTTCATATATTTATATATATATTATATATATGTATATATGAAAAATATATCAAAATGCATGTGGGTACTCAAATGAAAGCTCTTGATGAGTGTAACATCGGAATGAGCTTATATCCGTAAAAAAGTCAATAGTTAGGAAAGTACAATGCCATTTAACAAAAGTCATTAATTTAATAAAGCAAAATTTTATTTATTTATAGTTCATAAGTCACGGCAGTCACACAGTGACTGCAAGGTTGCTAGTTTTTACTTACATGATGCTTGTTTAATTCATAACTTTGAAAATTTTTTATTGTTGATTTGTCCTAAAGTTCAATTTGATAAAGTTGTAAAAGTTTGATCATAGATATAAAAAATGATTAATCTTCGACCAACTTCAGCATGCTCACAAATTTTATTCATGTATTAAAAAAATTTTCATTGAGCTAATTAAAAAAATTACAATATTTTTCTTAATAATATTTTTTATAAAGTCAATCACTGCTCACCTGAGCGTAGTGAGAAGTACGACATAAAGAAATTCTCACAGAGCGTATACACCGCATCCACAACGTTGTGGTGTATTATATGTTGCAGTACGTTTATAAATATACCACAAGTCATTTGTTGATGGATACTTTGTAATAAATCTGATACCAATAATCATAACAACAATACAGATATCTGAAAAATTACTTCATAAAATTTTATCAATTTTCTTAAATTAAATTGCTCAAGAAAATTTTTTAAAATTTATTTTATTAATTATATTTAATAAACATTAATGATAAGTTATATTTAATTGTAACCAATTACAATAATACTTAAAGATGATAGTTTTTTATCCACTTGGCAACGGAAATATACGTGAGAATCCTTGACCGCAAAGCGCAGTCTCTTCATAGTATCGTTAACCGAGCGTAACTTGCGTGTTTACAATGAGACTTCAAATAGCCTGTTTCCTATTTATAAACATTTTTTTATCAATCACATCCACAGGCGAATAAACTAATCACTGTCAAATGAGCCACCAAAATAATGGAACAAATTTATTGCCAAGCCACGAGTCGAAATAATTAAAAGTTAATTAAGATCCGAACAAAAACAGTTTCACTGTAAAAAAATCGCGCCAAGTCCACGTTCATAAGACTATTCAGAAAAAAAAATTAGTTTTTTCTTTCCAAAAAGATATAAAATAAAAAAATTAAAAAATCAAGTAACCGATATGATTGTTTATGATTTTCGGAAATTAAAAAAAATTTTTTTGTAAATTTAAAAATTAAAAAAACAATTTTGGAACGTATTTAGTGTGCGTTGTTGCGAAATATTTTACTTTTAATTAAATTCGTAAAATCTATTTACTAGGACTTTAAAAAAATTGAAATGCATCTGTGGATTTTATGATTAATTATTTATTTATTTTATTTTTAAAATTAATTAACTATCGGTCATTGACGTCTGATTTTTTTTTATTCGACAGATAAATAGAGGAAATAAATATAATTTCTTAATGAATTATTTCACATGGTTAATAATAAGCACATTAGTTCTCGCGCTTTACTTCTTTAATTGCAAGTAGGTATTCTATTATTACAATGCAATATCCCCGGGGGAAAATTGTACGTGTAAGGACAGCCATAAATATTAAACTTGTAAATTTATATTTATACATATATCTATATAAACATAAACATAAATATAAATACAAGATGCAATTATTCATAAGCCTTCGACGAGAGTGTAATGCACGCTCTACAGTGTGTTAAATTACAAAGAACATTAGTACTGTCTTTTAACTTGAATTTATTTATAAATATTCAAAGATAAATCTTTCAAGGTTTAAATCATTAAAACTTCATTTGACAATGAGAAAAAATATTATTTGTTTTTTTTAATGGAAAGTTCTCTAAAAAAAATTTTTTTAATATTTATGAAAAATATTATTTAAATTTATTTTATTAATTAATTTATTTATTTCGCTTTCAAATTTTTAATTCAAACAGCGAAATTAATTTACAAAATTTTAATAAAAATTAGAGAATTTTTTTATTAATAAATTCTTGAAAATTTTAGTGTAATTTAAACAAATAAATTTTTTTTTGTTGTAATAATCTAAAGAACAGATCAAAAACTCATCCACCCTTGAACTTAAAACTGTTTTTCTTAAAAAAAAATTACTATAATTATAAAAAGAAAATAACAATTCAAAAAAAAAAAAAATAAAAAACGGAAATTCAGCTTTGATTGAGTAGCTTAAAAATCAGGATGATTAAACGACTGTCAAGTGCATAAGGAATTTAGTGAATGAACGGTTTATTCATTTGCTCCTCCACAAACCGTGACGATGAAAAAATAAGTCGTATCTACTACACGTGTATAAATGCACTCCGATGGTTGATGGCATTTTAAAACTCTTCCTCGTCTTTAGTATACTAATGCGTAATGTAATATAATGTAATGTATAATATATAATAAGAGACGTGGACGTGGACATGTGGTTAGTGAATCTGGGGCCAACTGTTCCTTCCTGCTACTCCACCAACCTTGAAATATATTCTCAAGGAAATCTCAACGTACATATTTATCATTTATCACACCGCCAATAAACATCTAAGCCCAAAAAAATTCATAAAAAACTATTTAATCTTACCAATTTAATCTGTCAATTATCGGGGCATTGACTCCTAAATTTATTCACAATTACATTATTATATTCTCTGATCCAATCATCTTGATAGTTGGTTATTTTTTTGCTAAAAAATTTCAATGGGCTTCGTTAAGATT